AGAACACTACATTCTCAATTATAGACATGTGTTTTTTGTTGAATGCAATTGAGACTTGCCTTCTACTTGTTGGACCCACAAACCAAAAAAAATCCCTAAACAAGTTTGGTTTATGAAAGAGTTATTATGAAATAATATTGTATATCATTTTGTTCTGTGTGCCTATATAAAACATTACATTCTTAATTATAGACATTATTCATCATTTTGAGTAACTCTTGTCCTAAATTTCAAATCATGTTACATGTGAAAAGTGTGGGTTGTGCATTAGAGGATGACAATATAGTTAACTGATAGTAAAATATAAATGCTATAATTGAACATAAATATTTGTACTATACTTTTTTTTTTTTGGTTAACGGTCTTCATATATTAAGCCAAATGTAAAACGGTTTGGCAGTTGTCCCGTGAAGCAGGTTTGGCAGTTGTCCCGTGAAGCAGTGTATGACTTACATAGGAAAATTAGAACTTTGTGTACGAACTCTCTTTGCAAGGGAGTCGGCCTAAACATTTTCACCCGAGGGATATGACAAAGGCTAAAAGCCTCCAAATTTCTGATATATGCCATATTTTACTATTTTTTTATTATATATTGTTAATGATTTTAATAAATAAATGACTAAGTTTTGGATTTTAAAGGCTAGTTTTAGTATTTTCATGGGTTATGAAGTCATTGCATGAAAATGGAGTATTTTGAACCTAAAAAAAGAGAAATCAAGTCTTTTCCAGGAAACACAGATCTTGTCCGTTAGATGTTTCACTCCATATGAAGAAATTTCCACCGTCGGATCAATCTCATATTTTATCACAAGATAGAAGGGGATCTCAACTTCAAAATATTTAATCGCCAAAATCCAACAGTTATATCTCAAGATCACCTAATATGAGAAAATTGAGAATTTTTCTTTTGAATTTTTCTTTTTCGACTTTATCTCCAAATCTTCAAAGACTTCAACAAAAGATACGACTTCTTCTCTATATAAACACAGTTGGAGCCAGGGGAGAAAGAGATCCATTACCATTTAAACATTTTTCTGAACTTGAAGATCTTCACAAAGGCATTCATCTTTTTAAAAACTTTGTTCATTCTTTATGTTCGTTAAGGGAGAAGAATCTCACCTTTTTGTACTCCATCCATAAGTTCTTTAAACCCACTATTACTGCTTTTTATGATTATGAGT